TTATGTACTTAGGACTAATTTGGCCCTTCATCAGTTGTCTAAATTTTCTCTCAAGATGTCCATACATATTTTATCGATTTTAAACTCGGGAAGAAGTCTATCTTGGAGTCTTCAGACTGGAGGATTGGTACGTTTCTGGTGCGTGGTGTCATCCTGGGATCTTTCTCACCTGTTCTGGTGATTCCCTTTGCCTCTTATGTTGGTTTCCTGTTTTCTGTATCTTATGTCTTTCTTCATTTATTTCATTTTGATAGAGCATATTATTTAGTAGTTTCCTGGAAAAGGGTTCAGGAGAAATAATTTTTTTTATATCTTACATATTTGAAAATGTCTGTTCCAGCCACTGGATCGATAGTTTGGCTGGATATAGATTTCTAGGCAATGATTATCTTAAATATTTTGAAGGCATTAGTATGTTATCCTGTAGTTTCCAGAATTGCTGTTGAAAAGCGTATGCCATTCTGATTCATGATCCTTTGTGTAAAACCCAATTTTTGTCTCTAGAAGCTTGTAGGATATTTTTCATCCCTTCTGTTCTGAAATTTCCTAATGCTGTAGTTTTGGTTTGGGTTCATGTTTTTCCATTTTGCTGGGTCCATTTCATTCTGGAAACTCATGCCCTTAACATCCTGTGAAATTTTTTTGATTTTTGTTTGTTAATTTCCTTCTTTTTCCACCCCAATCTTCTCTGTTAATACTTTCTAGAATTAATACTATTTAGATTATAGTCCTTAATTCTTTAGGTTGGTTCTTTAATTTTCTTTTCTTTCTTTTTTTTCTTTTTTCCGTTTTTTGCCTTTTTGCTGTACGTTTTAGGAGATTTCTGCCAATTTATATTCCAACTCTTCATTGAGTTTTGCATTTCTTCCACCGTATTTTTAATTTTCACGATTTTTTTTTGTTTCCTGTGTTCCTTTTTAGGATTTTTCTTGTTTGTGGTTGAAGCATCTTGTATTTCTGAAGATATGAATGATACTTTCTTAATGTTTTCTTCTTCCTGCATAATAGATTTCCTCCAAAGTTGCTTTTTTCTTTCTTTTTAGTTTCCATCTTTATCATGTCAGAGGTATTTCTCAGACATCTATTAATTCTTGCCTGTATTTTTTACAGTGTGATATTATTTCACAGTGAGACTCAAAATTATTTCTAGGAAATGTTTTCTGGCTATTCTGTTTAATTATTTTTTTCATAATCTTTCTTGGAGGGGATAGATATTTTAACTCTGAAATTAGGAAGGGGTGACTGGGTAATTTTCACCCTTGTGTGAAAACAGGACAGTTTTACACTCTTTGTGGCCTTTCTCACGGGAGTAGTGGGCACATCTGTCATGTTGAAATGTGAGGCAAGGTGTGCGCCAACTGCTGAGAATGAGGATTCTGGCACTTTTCGGAGCAGAGCAC